AATGCAGCCCCATGTGTACTCTCTTTTCAAACTGTGAGCTCTTCCACCCTAACTGCAATTGGCCATTTGCAGCAAAACTGAATCACTGGTTTATGTATCAGATCTATGGACACAAACTAATTAGCTGATCAGGGCTTGTCTAGAAAATTTAGTATATGTTCAGCATCTTTTGGAAGTGTAACTCTCATCCTTTTTTCTGTTAGATTGCATCTGAAAATGCAGCATCTGAAGAAACACTGAACAATGCTACCTTACGTCTGTTTGAGCTGGAGAGGAGTGTTGAAGACCTTAAGCAAAAGGCTGTTACAAATTCAAAGAATGTGGACAATATAGAAGAAAAAATAGTTACTGCAAAACAAAATGCTGAAGAGGTTAAACAGGTGAGAGGCTAAGGGAAAGCCAACAAAACTCTCGCCTGACTGGATAAAGGGACATTAGTGAATCCATAGGATCCATTTCATTTATTGCTCAAGTACATGGTGGGGGGGAGGAGGCACTTAACAAACTTGCCAAAGGTAGCTGCTTTGTACTTACTTTGGTACCAGATACAGAGAGGAAAAAAGCACTCGGAAGTTTTGAGGTTCTAAAGTAGCTGCAGGAAACCTGCTGTGCTGCCAGCCTTTCTCAGCTTTACTATCTGCCACAGGAGAACTGCTCATTTTTTTCCCCTTGTAGAGAGTATTTATGGTTCTATGACAATGATAGATTCAGGACAATCCGGAATTTGGCATATACAGAATGAAGCAACAAAGAAAAATTATTAGCTCGCTAGAAAACCAGAGTAATTTCTGAATACTAGAGATGCACAGTTTGCTGTGTGAGCACACGGCACTGCTCACAATGTCAGCACACAGCACTGCTCACAATGTCAGCTACATACCTTAGTAATAGCAAAAGCATGCTCATTAACAAAACAATTGACAGATGTGCCACAGGAAGTCTCATTGCTCCCATCTGTTGTCTCTAGTTAGCCCGCCGGTCTCCAGAGAGACATCTGCCAGGAGAGATGTATTATCCACCCAATCAATTATTTTCAAACACTAAGTAGCATTTCAGGTGGCTGTCCAGTAAACACAAGAGACTTCCCGCACTGCTGCAGCTTGTTAACTTGCTTCTTGGTTGAATTCGTTTATAGAAGTCATAGGGCTTCTTAATCTTAACCTCACAAAGCACAGCTGAGATACTGACATCATGACTTCTCCAGCACCTTCACCTACACAAACTGGGCAGCTGTTCTCATTACTGAAAGGGTAACAAGGGTATTTATTCCTCCCCAAATGCAAGCATTCCACCAGAAGCAGTGCCAGTTCCTTACCACATGCAGCTTTCCAGCTCTACTAGGGGCCCTGTCTTCTATTAGTTATGGAACTGAATCCCATAAACCCTTGCCAAGTGTCAGTATTAAAGCCATAAAACGGCCACATGTCTGCAAAAGGGCAACTGATGAATCTTCACCCTAACTCTTAGAAGTCTTGAATATTAAGTACGAAATATCCCAGCACTGTTTCTGCATTTAACTGAGCTAATTTTGCAGTGTCCTCACTTCCGCATTAGTAAGGTTAGAGGAAATGCAAACGCCACCTGTATTGTCTTTTGAACGAGCTCCATCTTGTGCTTGAATCTGGAACAACAGGTCCTCGACACCGAGCTGAACGACAAGTATAAAACAGTGGAAGATCTCATTGCCAAGAAGACAGAAGAGTCGGCTGACGCTAGGAGGAAAGCCACCATGCTGCAAGATGAAGCTAAAGCCTTGTTGGCTCAAGCAAACAGCAAGCTCCAGCTGCTCAAAGGTAAGGCTGTTCCAAGGGGCAAGTGGTCATCTTAGAATGTGAAGCAATTTAATGCTGTTACACCAGCTGTTCATGAGCGGGGCAGGGGGAAATGGCAGCTGCCAGGGAAGGAGCGTTTCCTTGGTTTTGCCAGGCCAGGAACAAAAGTCTTCCCCTCAGTTGCTCCTGCTCTGTGGAGCGGTTAATAGTCTTAACCATAACATTTCACTGTTCTGCAAAAGCCACCACAGATCAAAGAATGACAGTTGTTTTCAACATGAACCGAAGTATGCTTTTGGATTTCCACTTAATGGACAATTACTTCCTTGTTGCTTTACGTCGCAATGTTAAGGAAACAAAAGGTGCCATTCCAGCCTTTGCTGGAATGAAGATGCTCTTCTGCAATAAAAATGAATTTGAATAGTGACTTAACCATAATGATTTGCATTTCACTGTATTAAAACACAGCTAATTAAGCTGGTTTTCCCCTTCCCTTTCTGACAGACTTGGAACATACATATGAGAACAATCAAAGAGTTCTGGAAGACAAAGCCAAGCAGTTGGTGGAGCTGGAGGAGACAGTCCGCTCCCTCTTACAGACAATCAGCCAGAAGGTTGCTGTTTACAGCACTTGCTTGTAAATGGGAGCAGGAAATGCTTGTGTTCGGGACGGGGTTTACAGGTATTACACTCGTTCTTTTTGACATGAGACAGACCTGATAAAGTGAAGAGGTTTTATATTGACTTTGAAGTCACAGAACCAAAGACAAGTAATTTTGCAATGTTGAAAATAAACAGTACTTTTGTATCATTGTATGTACCTAGTATGAATCATTAAGTTCCTTCCTATTTTCAGTAGCTGAAATGGTACCTCAGTTAATCTTTTAGCAAGTCTTGTTTTTAAACTTAGAGATCTAATAAAATCTTGGCTCCAACTACGTACTTCTAAATAAGGGCTCCAGTTACTATGAAATGTGGATGGTCACTCAACAAAATTAAAAGTGAACGAAGAAACACCATCCTTGTGTGGTTAGCTGGCATTTATGCCATGATACTCAAAAAGGATTATTTACCTTCTGCATGATACCCGTTTAGGTTTGACATTAGTTTCATGTCACTTGCTATGTGGGGACAGGGCAGCACTGAAGATGTCATTTACACTTCAAGCACCAAATTTAAGTCATAAACCAAGCTTGGACAACCAAGCCTGTCTGGAAGAGGGACTACAGAAGTTCACAGGGTGGTGATATGAATCAGTGAAGGAGCTGCACACAGATGCGTGTGCACTTAACAAAACACAAGTAAGACTTTTTTTCAAAGCACAAGTGTAACATGCAGTTCATCATACTTCATCTCAGTTATGGGTAGAGCAGTGCACCTTCAGACAATTCAGTACTGCACAGATTAGCATCCAGAACTGCAATGTGCATTTACACATCCAGAGTGCTAACTCCGAGCTGAGGAACACCTCTGTGTATATATACTCTGACCTTACCTAACCTTGGCTAATGTCAGTGAAAGTCAGCCAGGACAACTATGGCACAATATATCACTACCTAAGCAAAGTGAAGGGCAGTATGTTTAAATAAGTAATTGCCCCCAAGCTCCATAGTTTACATGGGAATTCGTTACCACTGTACCAGCATCAGACACCATTTCAGTGCCAATATACGGAGCAGCTGTTAAAAAACACAATTTGCAAACTTGCAGCATTCAGATTTTACTGCCACCACTCAGATCACTGACAGGTGGCTCAGTAACTCACCTTACTTCTACCTTTACAAACACTCTTTGTACATTCACTAGAACAGGAATGACAGCGAGAGAAGTAACAATAGAGGAACAAACGAGGCCTTGAACTTTATTTTCAAGTGTCTGGGAAATTACAGTCTCCAGTATAATTTTAGTCTCTCTGACTTTCCAAATTTCATTTAACATGAACAAAATGAGAGAACTTGTAACTTGATGAACCTCAAGGCTGAGCTGCAGTAAGACTGCCCCAAGTATTGAGGGGGGTAGAGGGAGCAGACACAAAACTGTTCCAAGGCTTCCAGGAAGAACACAAGATCAATGCTTCATAGCATTTACCTGCAGCAGCTAGAAGTGATTCTGAACTGCCAGTATCTATTGGACTAATCAAGTTGTTTCTTCCCTATTACCTCATCTTTGCTTTTCCCGTCAGCAACTTCCTACTAACACCTGAAAGCAGAACCACATTAGTTCACTTAACCCAGCATATCCATGAATCAGATTATCTCATATCCTGGTGACGAGCTGTCATGGTTTAACCCCATCTCCATTTAAAACAGAAGTTAATAGAAACCCAAATGAAGAAGAGCAGCACTGATGCTTGTTGATTTAACTGGTATCTTAATAAAGCAGTACATTGGCCTGTATTTCCGTGACTCAGTTTGGATAATGGATTGAGTAAGCTCTAAAGGCAAGATACAACCTTGACTACACAGAACCAAGTAGCTCTTGCAACATTTTCTGCATGTACTTTTCTCATTCCATTGGCACAATGTAACAGGACACACACAGTCCCAGGTATTAAGGTTTTCTTCAAGACAGATAAGCCTAGCAAAAAAGAAGGTGGAGTCCCTGAAAACAAAACTTCCATCAGCTACTGGAATCGGGCACATTCCATATACACGTTAAGGATCTCCCAAGGATGCCATTTGTGAGTTTCTTCATGTATTAGACGCTAAAAGGAGTAATGGGGCTAATAAGCAAACAAGACCACCCTAAAGCCATGTTAAATATTTATTGAGCTCTCTCTCTCGTTACAGAAGAGACAGAGAGCACAAAATAGAAAACAAGAAGAAATTATGTCTTAATTCTGTGGAGAGCTGACACTGCAGCCCTTACGTGTGGAAGGTGCAGAATAACCCTCATTCCATAGCACTTAACTGCAAGTGCTACTTCACTACCCAGTTTTAGTGTCTCAAGTTTAAGAGAGTCGGACCAAGAAGCTTTAAAACAAAAAACGATTAAGTGCAGTAAGATCAATTCTTCAATCTTTCATTTCTCCATCAGCATTCAATTTTACCTCGATGAGTTTTCAATATGAAAACATGACGTGTGGAGAATCACACACACACAGAGCAATTTTCTCTTTAAAAAGTCAACATAGTTTTAATTGATCTATACAAGCCCCTCTTCTCCCAACATCCTAACACTACTAGGTCATATACAAGTACCAAAACTTGTCTTAAGAAGTAGGTTAAATACTAAAGTTAATCCTTCCAGAAGGGAACACATTTTTGTGCGGAAGTGACAGTGGCATTTTAAGTGCCAGCATTCAACTGGTTTAGTCTATCACTACTTCAAATAAGAAAACACCAGGTACGTTGTGCACTCATCCAGAGTTTTGGCCAGCACACCTGATAATCCCATGCAGCAGCAAAATGTTTGGTTTTGAAAGAAAGAAGAGTTCTGTCAGGCTGTTTTTCTGTAACATTCATCATGTAAATAAACATGTAATTTTAAGTATTTAATTTACAGAGACTGGATAATTCCACTTGTTCCAAACTCTACTTGTTTAAATATCTGAATGAAGAGATTAACTTAATTCAGTCCTAAAATCCTCCGACTCAGCCTTCCGTAAGGGCCCACAGTCCATGTCCAGAGATGCACTATACACATATAAAGATCAGCTCTTTCATTTTAGAAGTTGATTGCTTTGCCGAATGATGCTGCTAGGTTTGCTTCCCTGAAGGCTTCTGACACTGTCTGTAGAAAGCAAACACAAAAAGGGGTAAGTCATTAATAGTTAAATGTAGCTATAGCACATCTGTCCAACAGTGGTGTTCAACAGTCCATTTAGGAAAAACTTACTGGATGGGCATGGCAAACTCTGGCTACATCTTCACACGATGCTCCATATTCCATAGCAAGGGCAGCTTCATTAACCATTTCACCAGCACCCTGTAAATTTAATGGTATTTTTAATGAGCACATATCTCTCTGCAGTTGTCTGGGTTCTCCTGAATGAGCAACAGCTTGTAAATAAGCATCTTTGGCTAAAAAACAGGAGGAAAGTTGTATAATAAGCAGAACAGAGAGAGACTAGGGTCTAACTACTGATACTTTTCCCAAATAGAATTACCTGATTTCTCATCTTTACAAAGAACTTTTTAATCAAAGTTGCAAAGTTACTGACCCCACATTTGGTGACTGCAGTGTAAGATTACCAGCTCTGCTGAAGTCTGAAGTTCAGAGAGAGGAAAGAAAGAAACCACCAATTAAAAAGCCAGTCTCATGTCTGTTCAGCTCCCTCAACTTTCAGAACCTGAGTCTACAATTTCTGCTCTTCTCTCAAGTATGTGGCACTATTCATACAAAAAAAACTCAAAAAACCCACTAAATACACCCCACCACCACCAAGAAAAATAATACAACCCAAAACTGGTCAGAGAAACCAATTAACCCTACCAATTCTAGGGGAAAAAGTAAGTGCTGGGTCTAACACCGCAGTAACAGAAAAGCGGGAAGGTAGGTGGGCAGGGCTGCAGAAGAAGAGCGAAAATACAACTGACTGGTCATTCTTTCTGCAAGCACCACTTCTCACTTGACAACTTCTCTGCAACTGTGTAACACTAAATAGCAGACCCTTACAAGGCCAAGACAGCAGAATAATTTACAATACTTACTGCGCCTAAAATGTGAGCACCCAGCATCCTGTCTGTTGATTTATGACTAAGGATCTTCACCATTCCATCTGTGTCAGCATTTGTCTTTGCTCTGCTGTTTGCAGCAAATGGAAATTTCCCAACTTTGTATTCTACACCCTAAAGAACAATGGAACCATAAAGACAATTTGGTAAGTACAAGAACAGAAGCAATACAAAAGTAAGAGACACACTGGAAAGAAATTCTTCACTTATGAGGCATTTGAACTGGTTGCTCAGAAAATCTGTGGCTGTCCCATCCCTGGCAGCGTTCAAGGCCAGGCTGGACAGGGCTTGGAGCAACCTGCTCTAGTGGAAGGTAGGGAGGGATTGAATCTGGATGATCTTTAAGGTCCCTTCCAACCCAAACCATTCTCTGATTCTATAGGACAACACACAGAGCAATGCATAAGAACCACCACCAAAGGGTTAAGGGGGTATTAAAAAAAGATTAATTAGCAAATGAACAATATTAACTTCCTGGAATAGAAGTCATTAAAGACAATGGTGATCCTTGGGACAGTGGCACACCAGAGGGAATCATTCAGTCATAGACCCTAAGCAATAAATTCAGATGCAGAAATTCTCCTGGAAAAAGTAGCCAGATAAACTACTAGACAATGAACCCATGCCCAAGGGTGGAAAAGGTTTTGTCTGAGAAGAAAACAAACAGTACCTCTTCTTTCAGCTGTTCTTCTGATTTGCCAACCCAGGCCACCTCAGGGTGAGTGTATATCACAGAGGGTACGCAGTTGTAGTCAATGTGAACTGCTCCTCCAGCCATCCCTTCTACACAAAGAATGCCTTCATCCTCAGCTTTGTGGGCCAGCATAGGTCCAGCAACTACATCACCAATAGCATAGATGCTATCAGACCAATGAAACAGAATAAGACACTGTTTAAAAACATCCTAGCACACCTAGGCTACCTTATATAAGAACAGTCAGTTTGAAACATGTTACTGAAAACTGATCAAAACACATTAAAATCCTGAATTTCACGAGAAATGCAAAGTATAAAAAAGGCAATTTCCACAGAATGACCACACTTCAAGTACCAGAGACATGAAATATATGCAGTGACTTTGAAATGACAAAGCTTCCAAGGTTGACTAAAATCTTTTGTTCCTGAAATAAACAGAAATCTTGAGTTTTCCTTTCACAAAATAAAGATACATTCTGCAATTAAAACCAAACAAAAAAGTGCTTTAGTAGGTTGAGCTTTTAAAAATAGTAGAAAATATTTAGTATTTAGTCTTACTTACTTTGGAATTTTGGTTTGGAATCTGTTATTGACTGGGATTTTCCCCCTCTTATCAAGTTCAATTCCTAGATCCTCAAGACCTAGATTTTTTGTAAAAGGACGTCTCCCGATGCAGACTAGGAGCACATCACAGGTTATCACTTCTGCCTTGCCACCAGCAGCAGCTTCAAGACTGCAAAAAACCAAGCAGCAAAAATGCTCAGCTGCAGACTTTCAGTATTGTATTTCCCCAATTAGTAACTAGCTGGCTCTGTCATCGAAACATTTGGGTTCCGCCTGCCCCATGCTTCTTCCTTGCAAGAAGTTGAGGAGTACAAGAGGGAGGAAGGGACAGTAACAACTTGTTAACAACTCTGATACAGAAATTCAGGCCCTATTTCCACTAGCAAGTAGCATGACCTGATAGGATCAAATCTGTACAGCAAAACTGGTGCCGAGTACTTGACATCCAAAATATATATATAT